TATAAAATTGACTAAGGTGTACACCAAAGTCAATTCAATAAAATTTTAATTATAATTATTACTAGAGATGTTATGATGTTAAAAAATTTATTGATTGAACATTTTTGTTTTTTTGAAGAAAAAATTTAAAGATAAGCTGTTACAACTTGTACTTTAAATTCAAAGGTTAAAAAGATATCACATCTAATTAACCATTCTTCCAAATAAAATTTTTAATACAATAATTTCAAACATTTACATTAAATATTATAACACTATATTTGATCACATTTTGAATTTAAATAAGGACTAATGACAGATATAAAAATAAAAAAAAATAAAAAGAAGTGAGTTTAATATACTCATAATTCTTCGCTATAGTAGCGGTAACTTGCTGGTCTCTTCCTCTAGGTTCCCCCAGGTCCAAGGTAGAGATGTGTGTGTGGGTCCTTTGGGGTACCATAGTGGAAAAATGAGACAATTGTGATTTACCAACTTCTAAGGGGACTATTGTGCAGGATAGCTTACATATGAATCCAATAAAGAGGGGATACATGTATCTGGAAGGAAATCACAAAGTGGGACCCATCATGAAGTCTCAACTCGAGAAAAGAGATTACAAGGGTTTAAAAGTGGAAAAAAAACACATATTCGAGCAAAAAGAATCACACGTTAGAGGTGCCTCATGGCCTGAGCAAGACGTGGAAAATGAGAGTGTCATTATTGGAAGTCTTAGATTTATACAAAAAGGGTTGAACGATAATGAGGATGAGCTTTCGACAATAAGCCCAATCCCAATCCTAAGGGTCATGGAGGGAGCAAAACCCAATCTTTCTTCGAAGTTGATCGAAACACAAGGGGTAAAATTGCAGGGTGAAGGGTCCCAAATTGAACCAATATCATTGCGTGAAATTGGAATGCAAGAGATTCGGGGAAAAGATGACAGGCGCCATAAAAAAATAGCTCTTTGGGAAATCTCTGTTCACAGATGCACATAGTCTTGAACCCGACATAGTGATAAGGCTCCAAGACAACCACTACACTCCTTTTGCAATTCTTTATCTGATAGTAATATTAGGAATTGCAACAGAATCTTCTAGTTGACAAAAAATGTGGCAGAGGCAATCAAAATCTGGCTATTCCTGTCTCGGTCGTCACGGGACGATAAAATAATTTTTTTTTTTTTATTTATAAATACGGAGTTCTTATCAATATTTATTTTTTCAAAGAACATTGAAAAAATTACAAAATAAAAAATCATCTACAAAAATCAGATATCAAGTTTGAGAGTTAGTTACGTATAAAAAACTATTAGCATTTTACAACATTCGTCTTAAGGTAATTATGTTTAATTAACTAAAAAATTTATTTAAAATTTATAAAATATTTATCTTATCTTAAATTAATTAAAATTAATTATAATAATTAAATATATTTTATTTAACTAGTGTGTTTATTTTATAAAAATTAAAATTAAAATTATTATTATTATTGTAAAAAAGAAAAGATAATATTACGTATACATGTGTGTGTATATATCTATATATATTTCTTTTTTTTTAGCTCGACAGGAGAGATGTCCTGCTCCTACATATCTCTATGTAAAATAGAGAATCAGAGTCACGTAATTCTTTAAAAAAATTATTTCTTAATTGAATTTAAGATTTCTGAGTTGTCTCAACTCATGCATCTTGAAATATAAAATTGGCAAAGGTGTACATCAAAGTCAACATTTAATTTTGATTGTAATTATTGTTATCATATTTACTCGTGGCGTCAATCAATTCTTAATAATTTTGTTACAATACCTTTTAGTATTTAGCATAATGTTTTGACAATATTTTTAACACTTATAAATTATATTTTTGGTTAATTTGGGGAAGATAATAAGTTGTCGCAACTTATATCTTTAAACTCTAGGATTACAAGAATGTCACATTCAAGTAATTTTTATTCGATGTTATAATTTTGAATTATTTTCTTAATAGATTATAAAATTTGACTTAAAATAGGAAACATAATTTATATCATATATTATTTTCAAGAATCTTAAGACTATCACAGTCACAATGTATGTCTCAATAATTTTAGAGTTCAAAAGACATCATGTCTAATTAATCTCCTCTTTTTTATCGAAAATAATTAACCTAATAAAGGTGAAAACTAGATATTTTTAATATGCTGATAAATTCAATCTTGTTAAGACAACTAAATACTAATTATTTGTATATTGGATTAATAAATACATAAAATAAATATATTTTATTCATTACCATTTACTTAATTATCTTAATATGCACATGAAGAATGACAAAATGAAAAGCTGGCTGATTGACCAATTTGAGGTACTTTTTAAAATTATTTACATAAATGGGGTTGTTTTGAAACTATTTAAACCTTTGAAACATTTTACTATGGTGTCGCTATGTGACATATGAACTTTTTTTAATTTTACGAAGCCATGAACGTCATATTATTAATGTCGCTACAGCTCATAACGACACAAAACACCTTCAATGAAGTAGCTATAGCCTATAGCGCTACTACTTAAATAATTTTTTATAATATATTTTTTAACAAAAATAACATAAAAAAATAAAACTAAAATTATTTATAATATACATGTAATAAAAATGAAATTTTATTAAAAATTTATATGTAAAAATTTATATTATTTTACTTTTCTTTTATCTTTTCTAAATTGTTCATATTTATTTTAAAAAAAAAAAGAAAGAAAAAATAGGAGCGGGGAAGGACGTGCAAACCTGAACTCTACCGGAGACAGAGATGGGGATCCAAATTTTACCTCCGACAGATATCAAGGACGGGAGCGAGGAACGTAAAACCTCCGCCCGCCCCGTTACCATGCCTACTCCCAATATATAACTAAAGATGTATTTTAGTTCTTGAAAAGAAAGAAAAAAGAAGTGTATTTTAGAGCAAATCAGTTTTGAAAGCATATGACTTAATATATTATTTTTCATGGACTAAGATTATAAGCCGAAATCTTTATAAATCAAGATGATCTGTTCATATTTTTCACACACACACATATATATATATATATATATATATATATATATACACACATTATTATTACTAAAATTAATAATACATGTAATTTAAATAGGTCAAAAGTCATATAATTGTGATACTTCAGTCACTAAAACTATACAATTTTGGTACTTGATGAACTAAAATTGTTTAATCAAAATTTAGAGAATCAAAATTGCACAATTATAATAATTGAGGGACCAAATTATATTATACAACTAAGATACTTGAAGAAATAAAATTGCTGAATTTAAAGAATTAAAATTACACAATTATGATATATCAGGAAGCAAAAAAGTATTTAAGGTTTTTCTTTTTGAATAGATAAACAATAAGTATCTCTTTTTCTCCTAATTATAACAAAAATATACAATGCATTAAAGAAGCCTTAAAAAAATTATAACCAATATAATACTAATAGAGCTACCAAATTATAAATTGGTTAAATTATAAAAATTAATATATAATCAAACAGAAAATTTAAATTAAAACAATATATAATTATTATTTAAGTCACTAAGATATTAAATAATCTTATATATTCACTTAAGTTCAAGTCTGATTTTATTTAAAGTTTTATTTTATTTTTGTTTTTTTTTTATAAATATTTGAAAAAAGATACATGTTTAAAAAATCACTTGTTAAACAGTATGAATTAATATATAACTATTAATATATAATTAAATATATTAATTTAAATTAAAAATATTGTATATTTATGATCGAAGAAATATGTTGAATAAGTGGTTAGTTGATGCTTAAATAAGCAAAGTCCCCTCGAGTTTGATTCTCATTCAACTCATAAAAAATTATTATTTTTTTGTGAAATGTTGCATTTTTTTTGGAATCTTAGACAGTGCTGTGAAATTTGAGATTCGGCTTGTTTAACTTAGTGGGATGTTATGACAACTTTTTGAACCATTCAACTTGATTGAGTCGAGTTGACCTTCTCTATATATATATATATTTCATGGACTGAGATTGTAGACCGAAATCTTTATAGATCAAGATGACCTATATATATTTTTAAGCCATAGGCATTATAATTGCTTTCAAACCGATCTGATCTAAAATACATAAATTAAAGATTCAATTATCATAGGAGCAATTTCAATGAAAATAATTTTAAGAATTACTATTTTTATAGCATATAAATGTTTAGATAGTCAACCCTTATTAGATATGAAAAAATATATTTTTTATAATTAAAAGTACAATTATTAAAAAATTAAAATATACATAAATTTCATATAAGATTTTTTTTGTCACGTTTAATAGATATTTTCAATGGATAATATTACGACATACTTATAATCGAAAATGTTAGTTTAATAATTTTCAGCTTTTAACTATCAATTATATATTTGGTAAAAAAAAACAACTATCAATTATATATCGTTTTTAACTTTCAACCAGTTTTTCAGTCGCCTTTACTAAATATAGCCTCGACGTACTGAACCACATATTTAATTTTTTAAATGCTTACCTTTTAATAAAAATTTAGAATTTACTAACTAATATTCACCTCTAAAATATCTGTTAAGAAACTCATATTTGTTTTTCAAATTAAAATGAAAATTACAAAAATGCACATTGATATAATTGTTGTTTATGGTTTTTATCTTAATTAGAGGTACTTATTAGCATTATTCTTCTAAAAAGTTATTATACACGAGACAACTAATATTAGGTATAACCAAAACTGTCTCTTTATTGGTGTCTTACATTTCGTATGCCTTCTGTTTGGTCTCTTAAAAAGTCTATTTTATTTTGCTTTCCACATGCATGCATGTACCTGTGAAACAAATTTTTATTATTATTATTTTCTTCTCTTATAGTTTTTTTAAGCCTTATCCCATTTCCCAATCTGAAAACACTATTGCGCCACACTTAAATTATTCCATAAATGACGTGGGAAAGAACTAGAAGTCCCCCAATCAATCTATAAATAACCCTAAGTTTTGCTTATCTCAAGTCACTCATAGCTAGAAAGCCAAACATGGCTAGGGTTAGTGCACCTTTGTTTTACTCTTTGCTCTTGATTTCTTCTCTTATATTGGCTTCTCAAACCCTTGTCTCCTCTAGGGAATTATCTAAGCCTTCCATTGTTAAGGGACTATCATGGGATTACTATTTTCTCAAATGTCCCAAGCTTGAAAGGATTGTAAGGAAGCATTTGGAGGATGTCTTTGAGAAGGACAATGGACAAGCTCCTGGTCTACTTCGACTCTTCTTCCATGACTGCTTTGCTGATGTAAGTAGATCTTGAGAGAAATCTGAAGCCCTAATTTCCATCTTTATTTTTTTTAAATGTTTCAGAAAAAAATTGATAAAATAATGAAAATAATTAGCTAATTAAGCTATTATCTTTATGTTGTTAGTGTCATGTGGATTTTAAAGAAGTGTTTGGTAGAAGAAAGATTTTTTATTTTATTTTCAGGAATCACAGTTCATTGGAACATGGATAGTAAAAATAATTAGCTAATTAAGTTATTATCTTTATGTTGTTTGTGTCACGTGGATATTAAAGAAGTGTTTGGTAGAAGAAGATTTTTTTTATATTTTTTTTATTTTCAGGAATCACAGTTCATTGGAACATGGATAGTAAAAATAATTAGCTAATTAAGCTATTATCTTTATGTTGTTAGTGTCACGTGGACATTAAAGAAGTGTTTGGTAGAAGAATTTTTTTTTTTTAGGAATCACGGTTCATTGGAACATGGATAGTATAATAAGAATTATGATTCCTTTAGTTGGTTATAAATATATTTTGAAAATATTTATAAATGTTTCTCCTTCAAATCCTTATTATGACACTCTTAACTAAGTCACATAATCAATATAAGTGATTATGTTAGTTGATTTTATTGGATTTATAAAACAAAATTATGATATACCAATTTTATTCTTCTTACTTATTAAATTTTCAAGAAAGAGGTGAATATATTACTTCATATCAAAGCTTATACACCAATACTATAATAAAATTGATAAATGACAACCAAAATGTTTAAGTGGTAAGAGAGAATATTTATTAATCATTTTTTTTCATTATCTAACATGAAGCACATATTTTCATAGTCTTTAATAATGATTAAAGATGAAAAACAAAATTAATAATTTATAAAAACTGTAAAGTGCTTTATAAAAAAAAAAATTAGCCTTTCCTTCTAAATTATGGTTATAATAAAAATCAGAGTGACATGATATTTTTACATTAGTAAAACTTTTCTCTTTAAGTTATGAATGTTAATTTCTCATCTCTCTTCACGAGAACAATTTTTTGAAAAACCAATATGAAAAATATTCCCAAAAAATTATATTATCTATGAATGTTTTCTTTTAAATAATAAATTAAATATGAAAAACTCACATTTTTAACTTTAAATTCATTGAAAAAAAAGTTAAATAAAACTTGTATCATATATTTCTTTAAGTTCTTTTAGAAATTATTATATATATAATTAAGAATTATCAAACTTCAATCAAAACAATCAAAATTTTTGATTTATGACTCATCGAACTTACTGACATGTGATGAATATATATATATATATATATATATATATTCTTCTTCTTTTTATATATTTGAATTTATGAAATAAAGTACTAAATAATTTTTAATTTTTTTTAAAAATTTGTAGATTTGATCTATACATTAAGAATTTTAAATTCAATAATTGGATAATTGAAATTTAATGTACAACATGAGTTATTGAACGGAATAAGTTTAGATAAACTTATTAATCCTAGATTAAATGGATCTCTCCTCACACACACATATATAATAAATCATTTGATACTTCATTTCATTAATTCAAATTGACGGATAATCATAAAATCATTTTATCCATTGATTTGATTTAATGAAAGGAAGTATCAAATGGTTTTAAAATTTTTAAAAATTTGCAAATTTAATTTATGCATTAAAAACTTTAAATTCAACGATTGTATCGTTAAAATTTGATCTATAACATGAGTTATTGAACGGAGTAAGTTTAGGTAGACTTACTACTGAAGTAAACGGATAGAGTTACTTTAGAAAGAAACATATATCTCTCTATATATATATATATATATATATATATAACAAAATCTCGAAGCTTTTTAAACTCTAAAAGTGTCATTTCTTTTAGTGAAAATATAGATAAAATTGCACAAGTGATATTGGAATCAAGAATGAAAGAATTTATTTTTATGATATATAGAACGAAGCAATCTCCTAAAAGATCTATAGTTGGTGCCATGTAATGAAATTGTTTTGGACTGAAACAGGGATGTGATGCATCTATATTGCTGGGGGATGGAGACAACGATGAAAAGAAACACGATGCTAACATTGGTTTAAGGGAAGAGGCCATTCAGACCATTGAAAACCTTCGGATTCTTATTTACAAACAGTGCCTACCAGTTGTCTCCTGCTCAGACATCATCATTCTCGCAGCACGCGAAGCTGTTCGCCAAGTAATTTTCATTCACTATATATTCTTAATTCTTATTTATTTGATAACCATTTATTTTCGAATATGACATTTGCACGTATCACATAGTGAGACATATTATTTTTCACGTAGTTTTCGCATCATCTTTCCATTTTTTTCTTTCTATTTTTCATCATATTAACTTTTTTTTTTTATTTCATCTTTTTAAGCATAACTATAAGAAATATTACATTAAGAAATATTACATTCAGTATATATAAAATGTATTATTATATATAAGATATAAATATAATTACATATAATTTTAGTATTGATTTTGAATAAAATTCAACAATATATATTATATATTATTTTAAAAGTATCTATAATATAGGTAAAAATAATTTTTTGTAAAAAACAAGTTATGTCATATAGAATACATTTTATTATATGATAATTTATTTTTTTTATATGAGAGAGAGAGGTAGAGAGAGAGAGGCGGAGAAAATAAGACATAGAGAACTTTCTAAGAAGATAGCCTAGCATAATATGTACAGAACGGAAGGGAAAGAAAAATTTGAAATGTAAACGTGTTATATATAATTAAAACATCTATATTAGCATGACATATATGTTAAAGATCAGATCTTAGATATCGATCTTTGTGTCTCTTTATTATATTGTTTCCTAATAGAAATAAAATTTCATTTCAATAATTTATGTGAATCTCTTTAAATATAACTTTTATCATGTGAACTACAAGATGAAACTCTAGATCTAATAAAACAATAGTACTAAAATCTCGTACATCTAAGTTTTATCCTATGCTAAGTTGAGTATTTAAATACTTATAATAGAGCGTGCATATTTAAGAAGTTATTAATCACAGAAGTTCAGCATATGGACACAGGTCATGGAAGAAGGTTCAGCTTGGACAAACCAATAAAAAAAAAAGTTGTTTTTAATGTACCAAGTTGTTAAAGAGCACACTAAAATAATTATCAGTCTTGAAATTGTCAGACCTAGCTAGCTCACATAAATATTAATTTCATCTGATCAAAGAGTTAACTGACCAAAAAAGTTGATCAATTTATTTTTCTTTTTTAGTGATGATTCCATATCCTAATTTCTGAAACATGAGAAGAGTCTTTGATTTTTTTCTCTTTTGTTTCACTTGACTATACATGAGCAGCTAGGAGGTCCCGATTTCGACGTACCACTGGGAAGAAAAGACAGCTTAACCTGGGACGCCGACGCACCCGATAATCTCCCAGCCCCATTCTTTCTCACCGACGACCTCCTGGAAGTGTTCGGAGAGAAAAACTTCGACGCCTCCGAGGTTGTGGCTCTTTCGGGCGCACACACGTACGGTCGCGCCCACTGTCCCTCCCTGGTGAACAGAACCAAGGACCCCCCACCCATCGACCCAGACTTCAAGAACAAGATCTTCGGCACGTGTCCCAACGAGGCGTCCCCGAACACCGTCGATTTGGATGTTCGAACCCCCATGAAGTTCGACAACATGTACTACATCAACCTCTTGAACCGCCAGGGCGTGATGGTCTCCGACCAGGACCTCGCCACCCACCCCCAGACCAAGGAGATCGTCAACCAGTTCGCTTCCGACCAGAAAGCGTTCTTCAACAAGTTTGCTGATGCGTTTGTGAAGGTCAGCCAGATCAATGTCATCACCGACCGTCAGGGCAAGGGGGAGATTCGCGACAAGTGCTTTTTCCCCAACAAGAGGAGAAAGTCTTCTGTGGTGGAAGAAGTCGTCGAGTTGGCTGCGGAGATGTGAGTTTAGTGTTTTCTCCATGTCGTTGGGGTTCATTTTGTGTTTGTAGTTGTCTATCTTAATGTCCGGTGCTTGTAAGGTTTGTCCGGTGTACTTGGTACTTTAAGGTTTAATTTTCATCTGTCTTGAAATAATGATAAGTCGATAGAAATCACATTTCATGTGTGTAAACATAAATTAATCATTAGTTATCGACTTTGAAGTGGTTCAGCAGTAGGAGTTGATCTACGCTTAAGCAAGGTCAAGAGTTCGAATCTTGACTTGTGTATGTAGCCGCGTTAAGTCTTGGGACTAGCTATCCCACCTTTTGAAATGTCTCCAACGTAGCGAGGAGATTAGTCACCACTATCGACAGTGGATACTCCAGGAACAAAAAAAAAAGTTAACAACTTTGAAATATTAGATGGACTCATTTATTGATAAAAAAAAATCTTTTATCCATGCACAACCAATAAATCATGTAATAAATTTGATGTTTTGTTTTCTTGTTATTTTTTTCCTTGTTGAATTTTTAGTTGTGGGTTATATCCAAGACAATAAAAATTATAACTATTTGATTCTTTTAGGAAAGAAAATTATTAACATCATGTTTGATTGAACTTTGATGCGAAAACCTAATAATACGATTGCTACAAGGAGAATCCCAATATGAAATATGAACCATAAAAGAAAATATTAATTAAACAATCACATAAATATCGGTTAAAATACCCATTAACTAAAGAGGATTCATTTCTATAATATCAGTCATTTATCCCACTTTTCTCCATATTTGATTAAGTAGTTATGTTAAATCGTTGATAGTTATGAAATAATATCCTTTTGAATAAAATAAAAGAGTTTATCTATAAATAGATAAATATTATTTATTTATTATTCCCATTTCTCCTATTAATTGAAAATATAATTTGAAAATAAAATAGCAAGAACAAAAATGAGTAATATACCCTCAATAGAAACTGGAATGACTCAATTCAACATTTTTTTCATTTGGGTTTGAAAAGTATTAACACTTTGTTTTTCTTGAATAGAGTTGAGATCACACGCTATTGTGATCCCAAATGTTGAGACATCCTCGCGAATTCAAGAGTTTTTTGCTTGGCATCCTCCTAGTTGTAAGACACTCATTTAGTGTCCTTGGACACCAATACACTTTAAAAGAAGTTCAAATGAGTTTGCTCGACATCCTCCCAAATGTGGGGCACTCATTCAACGTCTTTGGATGTCAATACACCTTTCAAAGAAGTCCAAATGAGTTTGTTCAACATCCTTGGATGCCGAGACATCCTTGCGATTCCAAGTGGTCTCATGCATTGTCCCACAAGGCACGCCTCTTCAAACACCAAAACACTTTTGAAGGTGTTCTTGGATACCAACCATTTTGTGTTTCCGAATGGATTGAATGAATCTCCATTTTATACAAAGATAATTAAGATTATTAAAGTCTGATTACAATACGGAACAGATTGCAAATGTATTACACAATTGATAATCCTAGATTGAGGCACATGAAAATTTTGACCTATCATGATTAATATAAATAGTATCGTATATCGAGGTAAAGTTATTGTTAACAAGATATTCACATTTAATACACGAGTTATTTATTTGAGTGTTAGAGCACTTTAGCTTATACAACCCTCTCAACTTAGAAAGAGAATATAAGATATCTTGATATAAATACATGTAGAAATGAAAAACATAACATATTAAAACATATATAACATATACACTTAGTTATATCTCTAAGATTAACACATAGCACATTCTCATACCACATGTAAATGAAATTTTTACCTTAATTATTAAGTTTAAGTTTTTCTTATTTGTTACTTGTTGCATGTGGTTGGAATGTTTTAATAGCTTATTTTGTTCTCTTATAAATAAATTAATAAGTGCCTCAATTATTGTGATAAAAAATAATGGCTGAGGTAAGGAAACTATTTGCTACATTAGAAGATGATGAATTTTACAAAAATTATGTACTCAATGTTAGATTCAGTGCCCGCTGCTCGTCTGAAAATAAAAATAAAAAGGGAGCAAAGTGATGGAACTAATTTGTTTGCTAAAAGAAGTTACACACCAATTTAAGAAAAAAGTGAAGAACAAAGTCAAACAATGGTTAAGGCTAGAAAATGTCTCACAAGATAAAGATTTAATGAATTAAATAGAAAATAGTCTACGAAAACTAAATTTTTGAGTTCGGGAGTCGATTACGTGTGAGGAAGGTATTAGCACCTCACAACGTTCGTCGTAAGACGATTACCTTTAATTAATTAAACTAATTATTTATAATTTATAAAAATATTTATCTCACTAAATAATCAAATATATTTTATTTAACTAAACTATTATTGTATATATATAAAAAAGGTTAAAATTATTATTGTTATATAAAAAGGAAAATAATATTTTTTTTATTTCTTTGGCTCGACAAGATTTATTTCTTGCTCCTACGTATCTTCATGTGTAATGAAGAATCAGAGTCACGTAGTTTTTTGATAGAAAATATTTGTGTGTTGATATTTTTAAATTAAATTTTATTTTTGTTAAATATAGGATTCTTGAACTGTCTCAGCTCATTCACCCTAAAAATGTAAAATTGACTAAGGTGTACACCAAAGTCAATTCAATAAAATTTTAATTATAATTATTACTAGAGATGTTATGATGTTAAAAAATTTATTGATTGAACATTTTTGTTTTTTTGGCTGATCCCAAGAAGAAATTCGACTCGGCTCGGGTGCGTTCGGCCGAGCAGAATATAGAATTGGAACGCTTGAGCTCTTCAACAAAGCGCCAAAAGCAACCGACCTTGGAGCAGTCGGGTTGTGGTGCGTTTGCCATCCCAGCGGTCGTTGACGGCTCCAACTTTCTCGTGCCGAACACCCAGACTGAGAATCTGGTCGGCTTGGACTTAACCTCCGGTGGTGGGCTTCAATACTTGGAGGGGATGTCCTCAGAGGCCGAGTACAAGCTCTTTTGTGAGCTTGATGCTCGGACCTCTCTGATTGCTAAGCATATCATGATGAGATCCGCCATATCGGAGGAAAGGCTCCAAGGGCGGCTTAAAAAAGCCAAGGCCACTTTGCAAGAGGCGTTGAGCGCCAACACTAAGGCCACTGAGTCTGCAGAAGAGCTGAAGAGGGCCGCCGACGCCCATAGGAGGGAGGCTGACAACTTGAAGTTGACGGTCCAAAAGCTGAAGACCGAGGCCGTCGCTACAGCTGGCTAGATTGCTCGGCTAAACGAGGCCGCTGCCAAGTTTAAGGTCGAGGCCACCGAGAAGATTCTCGACCAGCATGACGCCAACTTCCAACATGTTGTTCGACAGGCCTTCTATTTCTGCGAGATCCCAGCCGACTTCTCGTTCGATGTTAGTCGGGATTTCTATGGTGGGAAATTCATTAGTTATGCCGAGTTCCCTCACGGCGCCCAACCTGATGAAGAGGCCCCACGCCGAGGTATTTCAACTTAGGCCGAAGTACCCGTGACCAGGGTGGAGGAAGAGCCTGTCATCGATGTGGTCAGTGACGGGAATCTAGGGGACTCGGCCGCTATGTAGGAGGTCGGCTTAGGATGGCAGTAGGTTTAGGATTTTGTAACCGGGCCATTAGTGCCTTTTGTAATCGGCCATTGGTGTCGGTAAAAGATGATGAACTTTTTGTGTAATTAGCTATGATGATCGGCCAAACTTTTTAATGATATTAGATTTTGATTGTCGTGATGCTTAATTCTAACTGTGTGAAATTTTATCCGAATTGTATGCCCGGCTGGGAAGATAAATTTCATTAGTGTATTTGTCGCGATGTTATGCTTGGTGTGTGTTATCGAATCATCCAAGAGTGTTCGGCTCGAGAGTTATCGCCCGTTGTGATCGGTGTTCATATTTAGTTTACTAGGTGTACATTTGTTTATTTTAGCCGCAGCCAGGTATCATAGTGTTCGTCCAAATAGTGATCGTCGTGATGTAGTGCTCGGCAAAGGTCATTATTGATTAAGGAGAGTACGTGGGAGGAAACCTGTTGAGGATTCTGCTTAGCCGAGATAGATATTTTGGGGGGAACCTAACAAATGCTCGTGCGCGTTTTGAGTGATCGGTCGAGAACTGCTGGGGGTCGATGTAAGCTCGTGAGTCGTACTGCTCGGTCTAGGCACATCCTTAGCCAAGGAGGGTACTCGGGAGGGAAACCTGTCAGGTTCGAGTGTACGTCTTGAGTGATCGGCCGAGGATTGCTCGGCGTCGATGTAAGCTCAGAGTCGTAGTGCTCGGCCTAGGTACATCCTTAGCCGAGGAGAGTACTCGGGAGGGAAACCTATCGGGCTCGAGTGCACGTTTAAGTGGTCGGCCGAGAATTCTACCCGGCATATGGAGTGGTCGGCCTAGGTACGTCCTTGGACAAGTTGGGTCGTCGAGAGGAAAACCTAAGCGACTCGAGTATACGTTTGGACGGAGTGTTCGGCTTGGTACGCCTAGGCCAAAGGTGAACCTATGAACGTGATTAACACATACGTATACGACAAGGTCAGCAAACACATCACAAATATTAATTGAAATTGAATTCATATATTCATTTGGTGACTCGTTAAAAACATTGCCGACCCAAAACCCTCTTTAGGGAAAAAAGAGTCGGTCAAGGAAAATAGTGCACGGTTGTACATCAACTGTAGTACATCTTTAAATGAGTAGAGTTCCAAGTCCTAGGAATCGGTTCTCCTGACAGGTATTCTAGCTTGTATGCTCCATTGTTCAAGTTGTGTCGTATGCGAAAAGGTCCGTCCCAGTTTGCGGTGAGCTTTCCATGCCTTGGGTCCTTTCTTGCTTCGTCTATGACTCTCCAAACGAGGTCCCCTTCCCTGAATTCTCTTGGTCGTACCTTGGTGTCAAATTTCCTCTTGTAGCGTTGCTTGCATGCCAGTCTAGGGAGTCGTTGTGATCGGTGTGGTCGAAGTTGATGCTTCCTACCATCTCTGCTTCGACACTAGGGTGGTCGATTTCTTGCTGAATGATGGTTCTCAATTGACCCGGTTTCTTGGTCGCAGCCAACTTGGCCAACTAGTCGGCTCGGGTGTTATCCTCGCGTGGAATGTGCTCGACCAATACCTCTTGAAAATTCGCCTTCAACTTTTGGTAGGCATGGTAGTACTTCATCATGTTATGGTCTTTCACTTGGAAGTTACTGCCCACTTGCTCGGCTACTACCTTGGAGTTGGTT